GCTAAATGGAGGAAACGCTCACTGGGGGAAACGCTCACTGGGGGAAACGCTAAATGGAGGAAACGCTCACTGGGGGAAACGCTCACTGGGGGAAACGTTAAATAGTGGAAATGCAGAGCAGAAGAATAGAGCTTCATCCAAGCCCCATCCATGTTTACCCCCCCCCCAGCAACTCTGATCACTAGTATTAGATAACAGATCCTATAGTTATAACAGGCTTCCCTATAATATTGCACATTTCACTAACACCAAGCAGCTGTCCATCAATGCAACGCCCCCATCTCACCGACCACCAGCACCCCCTGGTGGACTGAAAACATTTATCTGAAGACAAAATAAAAACCCAAACTCTGAGGAAAAAGGTTCCTATAAGAAGACTTTGCAACGCGATCCTTACGATAGATATGATTTATTCAATTACGGTTTTAGTGGAAAGTTACTTTATTTAAATATTAGACTCAGACTAAGTAAGCCTCTAATTAAAATCTTGATCCCGTTCAGGGAAGTGAGTCAGCTGACTGACCAGGCGATGATGCGTTCCGCTGATGGTTATCAGAGAACCGCGCCGAGCCCGACTGATGAACACTAGCTTTAGCTCGGTTCAGTGGCGTCCGCCACGGTGCGGCTCCATTCAACCGTTGCCTTGGTTACTGTGCTAGGACCGTCAGCAGGCCAGTGGAAATGGAGGCAGTAGAAACTGTTCCCAAGGGGAGGGGCATCAGAACGTTCTTGGAGCCGATTGAGTAGCCGCCTCCATTTTACAGCTAGCAGTCAACCGATCAATCAAATCCGGTTGGAAACACGCAGCCACCATCCACTCCGCAAAGGCAACAATTGCGTCATTTTTGCTTGTTTATCAGAAAAAAAATTGAAGCTATTCCACCTGAAACAGGTGAAACGTTTCTGCACCGAGGCCAAACGATTCAGGATGTGAAACACGGTCCGTGGCCCACGATTGGATCCTGACACGTCAATCAAGGGTGTCTGCTGGTCCCTCCCCCCTGTGCGTGTCGTAACTCGTCAGCGAGTCTCTTAGCTCAGTCTTCCATATTGTCTCGATAGCAGCGAAGGAAAGCAGTAGCTCTACTGAAGACAAACAGGCTCCAACGCCTCAACAAAGAACAAGATATAACAAATAAAATAAATTCTACTTAATTTTATTCTAAAAAACCTAAATTTATCACAGACTAATTCATAAACAGTGAACCATCATCTCTGATTCAACAGGCTTTGCTGAAGACT